CCTGAACCCAGGAGGCGGAGGCTGCGGTGAGCCGAGATCGTGCCATTGCACTCCAGCCTGGGTAACGAGCGAAACTGTGTCCCAAAAAAAAAAAAGTAAAACAAAACAAAAAAACTGGCAAAAAAAAGCATTCTTCTAATGAAAAAAAAATTAATAAAAGCTCTGGACCCCAGGTAATGTGATTGGAGTCTCTTTATTTCAATATTTAATGTTACCACTAATGACATCCAAACACTAATAAAATAATGTTTAAGTGTAAATAGGTACAAATTATTTCCCACTAAGCATTTTTGCTATTTGATTAAATATTATAACTCTATACGTGGTTACACTTTGCACTGAAAAGCAAAATAAAGTGAACAGCATTGTAAGAGAAGAACCCATAAATAATTATTTCCCTGAAAAATGACCAGGCCTGAACAAGGTTTATAGCAGAGAAGTCCAATTAGCAAATGTATTTGAATTTGAGACACAATGCTATTTTTATCTCTAATTATTCCCAACTCTCCAATCATTCTATTATAACCAATATACAGGATTGACAGCCAGTTTGAATTTCAGATATGTTAGCAATTCCCTTGCTCTTTTCAGGTCCAAAGGAAGCCTCGGTATATGTTTTCATTGAAGGATTAGGGCCCTCCTTAAACTAGAAATTGTTTCTAAAGGGTTATTATCAGAAAACACAGTTTCGTTTGAAGATGAGCTGAGTCTTGACTACAGGGAAAGGACGCTTGGGGAAAGAGGCGGGGGAGAAGGCCCAGCCTCAGCTACTGGTTGGTTGGGGAAATTAGTATTTTACCAAAAGGCTGCCACCCTTTAACTACCTTTTCTGTATATAGGCTCATGATTTTGCATTCTGATGCTTTCTCTAATGTTTTTCATCATATGCTTCAAAGCTATCATGCAAATTCATTATCTCATAAATCATCGAAGAGACACTACACTTGGAGAACGAGCTTGCAGAAGAGCCTGTGGTTCTTCCCTCACCTTGGTACTCCACTACAGGGAATGCAATCTTTTTCTGTAGTCTGTTAGCAAATACTATACGCTTTGCGGACCATCCAGTCTCTGCTGTAACTAATCAATTCTGCCTTGGCAGAACAAAAGCATTATCACAATACATAAATGAATGAATATGGTTGTATTCCAATAAAACTCTGTTTATGGACACTGAAATAGGAAACCATACACTTTTCAGATGCCACAAAATATTTTTCTTTGGACTTTTTCAGTGGTTTAAAAAGATGTAATAACCACATTTAGCTCATAGCCTGTTCAAAACAGGGAGTGAGCAGAATTTGACCCAGGGGCTGCAGCTTGTTGATGAAGGGCATGCTTATCAAACGTGTAAGGAACAAGCTGGGATGAAGTAAAAAGGAGAGTAACTATGCTAAATGACAAAACTAAAACCAAAAGTTTAGGACAGGCTAAAAAGCAGATTAAAAACCATTAGGATGAGATGGGACAGGAATAACCTAGTCCTAATCCCATCCAATGGGACATTATTTCACTCTGTAAACAGTTTTAGGAATTACAGATCATATAAAAATCTACAACCTCTATGAATGTTACATGGCCTGCATCTCAAGATAATAGACAAAAACATTGAAATCACCACAATATTTATTGAAAGGAAGTACAGAGTAGTGGTTATAGTATAGGTTCAGAAGCTGAGTTCAAATCTCAGCTTCATCAAAGTGTGGCCACATCACTTTGGACAAGTTACTAAACCTCTTTGTGTCTCATTTTCCTCATAAAATGAGATATATACTACCTAGGTTTCTTGTGAGGATTAAATGAGTTAGCACATAGAAAATGCTTAAAATCTAAGTGCTTTAACAGTCAAAAAAGTTTAGCTACTACTTTGCACATTAGTAAGTTAAGCATCTATAACCTAATCCAACCTACAGTGGTAGAAGGCACACAGATGCTTTGGTGAAACTTGTCATATTAAATTTTTTATTTTGAGATACTTGATTCATATACAGTTATAAGAAATAATACAGAGACATCTGTATGCCGTTCATATAGTTTCCCCAATGGGACCATCTTGCATAACTATGGCACAATATTATAACCAGGAAACTGATATTGGTATAATCCAAATTTATTCAGATGTTACCAGTTTTACATGCAGTCAATTGTGTGTGTGTGTGTGTGTGTGTGTGTTTGTGTGTATTTAGTTCTTTGCTAAGCCTATTCTCCAGCAGAAACATCAAGATAAAAAATTAGACCATCAATTCAGTAATTTACATGATACTTGAGGAAGACATCGCAGGCATCCATGAGGTTACACAGTTGAATGTTACTCTGGAGGTATTCATGACCATTGCATGCAGAGATCTGACTCTGCCATTTCTTCTTTCCTTCTTCATCCTCTACTTACCCCCAACCCTCAACCTTCACTCTGAAATGAAGACCTAAGATACATAAGTAGGGAGATCAAAAAACAAAACTTATTTTCTTCATAGTTCACACCAAACTATTAAAAGAAAAGTAGAAGTCTTAATCCTTTTGATACAGATGTGCAACTGCATTTTGTCATCACACCAAGAAGCCTTTGAGACTGGACTCCATTTCACTCCAAACTGGGCAAGGTGATTTGATCAACAAGAGCAGAGAAGGCCCTGCACACTTGCTGAGCTCCACTGTACAGATCCATGTTTACTGAAGACTCCGGGCCTGAAGTCAACAAACAGGAGAGTCAGAGAAACGTGCCTATAAGTTCTCACAAAGATCTTGATAAAGCTCTCACATGGAGAAGAAACAGAATCTATTTTTTCCTCAGTTCTTGAGGACAGTGCCCTTAAGTTAGCTAGCAAATAAGATGGCTGTTATTTACCACGATCAATACTATGAATTCAGCCAGGCATAGGTTCTTATGAAGCATTTTCCCACAGCTCCTAGCACAAATCGGAGTAGCCAGAAAGCCTACGATTGGCTCCAGAACTCTGGTGTATATCAAAATCACCTGGAGAGTGTTAAAACAGATTGCTGGACCTCACCTACAGAGTTCAGATTCTGTTCAGCTGGGACGGAGACCAAGTATTTATATGTATTGTTAAGTTCCCAGGTGATACTGATGCAGCCAATCCAGACACCACACTTTGAGTAACAGGGCTCTACTGTGACCTGATTAATGGTTTGAGTGGCCTCTACGATCTGTTGTACTAGGGACTGTGGTGTAGAAACATCTAAAATTTGGCAGGTATCAACTAAAATTTTGATATGCATAGTCTTTAACTTAAACAGTTCTGTCTTTAGGAATTGATCTTACAAACATACTTACATTTGCACATAGAGATATATATTATAAGGATATGTACCAAAGTATTTTTGTGATAATAAAAATTGGAAGCAACTTAATTATATACCAATAAATAAATTATGGTACATTTACACCCTGGGATATTATGCAGCATTTTAAAAACGACATTTCTCAATGTCTAAGATATTGAACAAGTGAAGAAGGCAAAAGCATAGTATAATCTAACTTATGTTGAAAAAGTAGAGACATACATATGTGCACAGAAAACAGTTTGAAGGAAACTGACTAAACTGTTAATAGTGGATACCTCTGAAAAACAGGTCGGAGGGAATGAAGAGCATGATGATGAATTCATTTTTTAAAAAATCTGTGTACTTAGCATTTTAATTTACAATAAACATGCAGTATTACATTATTTGTGTAATTAATAAAAAGATAAGATCACAGGAAATGAAAACATGGACAGATTTATTTTGTTAGTTGTTTACTTTTTAGCTACGTAATTTATATTGTGGGTCCATCTGTGCTGTTTTTTGTTGAACATAAGGAGGGAGGGTTCATGATTTTTAATTCCACTTATCCTCCAATACTGTTCCAGAGGACCTTGACTAAATAATATTTTATTGTCTCACTAACAAACCTTGTCCAGAAGCAAACTTATTTTAAGACATTGTTTCTCAGACCACAGTGATAAAAACTTAAAATACAGCAATAATAAATAGGAAAGCCATAATCAATTTCATATATTGTAATTTTTCTTATTGTTATTTGTTGTTTTCTTTTTCAGCTCTAGTCCCTTGAAATATTAAAAATAGGCAAAGACATGCACCTAACACCTAGCATGTTGCTTGGCATATACTTGGGATTAAATAAATGTAAGGACTGAATTAATATAGCACATAGGTAGAGGCCTAATGAGATGTTAGATGGAATACTTACGAAATTGGCAGTCCAGAGAAAATCACAATGACAAAATAATTCACTTAAATGTAATTAAAAGTCTATCTAGCATTCAAATAAATCAGGGATGTGAGAAGAGGCTACAAGAATGATAGATGTAGAAATGAAAAAGTATTAGGTTTTTTAGTCTATGTTCACTCTTCTGGGCAACCAGAACACTGAGCCCATATCTTATATACGATAATTAATGAAGCAAGCCAATATGTATTGAATAGCCACTCTGTACTAAGACCTTTCCCTTGAGCTCCAGATTGTACATGTTAATTGCCTGTCTCATGTCTTCATTTGGATGTTTCTCAGGCAACTCACAATATGTTCAAAACAGAACTCTTGATTTGCCAACTGCGTAACAGTTTTCCCAGCTTTCCCCATGGCAGTAAGTGTATCACTGCGTGTTCAGGGCCACACTATCATCTCTTGGCTAGACTATAGTAGGCTCTTACCTTGTCTCTTTGCTCACCCCTTGCCTTTCTCTAAGTCACTCTCCACACAGTGCCAGAATGTTTTAAAAATATAAACATATCCCACTTCAAAATAAATGCCCAGCACCAAGCACAGTGCTTGGCACATAGCAAATGCTTGATTAATATTTGTTGAATGAATTTATTAGTGATTGAAAGATGAACCAACTAGATATGTTTTTCTGCCTTCGTGGAGCTTTAAATACTGGAAGTCTATCTTTTTCCATTAATTGCTTCCATCTATATATGTGTCTATATCTATATCTGTCTATCTATGTATGAAGCAATGAATATAGTTAATCTTTGAACAACATGGGTTTTAACTGTGTGATCCCACTAATACGTGGATTTTTTCCACCTCTGCCACATCTGAGAAAGCAAGAACAACCCTCTTCTAACTCCTTCTCCTCAGCCTACTCAACCAAAAAATGATAAAGATGAAGACCTTTATGATGATCTATTTCCAGTTAACGAACAGTAAATATATTTTTTCTTCCTTATGATTTCCTTAAAACATTTTCTTTTTCTAGCTTACTTTATTGTAAGAATGCAATATATAATACATATAACATACACAATACTTGTGAATCAACTGTTTATTTTACTGGTAAGGCTTCTGTTCAACAGTAGGCTATTAGTAGTTAAGTTTTAGGGGAGTCAAAAGTTATATGCTGATTTTTGGCAGCATGGAGGGTCAGGGTCCTTAACTTTTACATTGTTCAAGGGTCAACTGTGTATCCATTACTATTCCGGTAAACATTTCTGGGATTCCCAGGCACATTTGAGATTACCTTCTAAACAAATGAGATACAAATAAAATTCTCTCCTGACCTTGGTCATTTCCTTAGAATTTGCTAAATTTGAAGTTTCATTTTCTGATTACTTAAAATAATAGTTTTGAGTGATGGTTCTAGATGGGGACAAAAGGAACAGGAATAAACCTCCTGCTCCCCACCTCTAACCATGCATCATACATATAACATCATGGCATGTGCAAATAGAGATCATTTTGCTTGTTCCTTTCTGAGATGCCTCTTCTTTTTTTTTTTCTTGTCTAATTACTCTGGCTAGGACTTCCAGTGCTATGTTGAATAGAAGTAGTGAAAATAGGCATCCTTGCTTTGTTCTTGATCTTAAAGAGTAAACTTCAGCTTTTCACCTTTAAGAAAACGGAATATGTTGTTAGCTGTGTGCTTTTCATATTTGGACTTCGTTATGTTGAAGTAATTTCCTTCTATTCCTAGTTTTTTGAGAGTTTCTCATGAGAGTGTACTGAATTCTGTAACATGCTTTTTTCCTGTATCTATTGTGATTGTGTGATTTTTTTTTTTTTTTTTTTTTTTTTTTTTTTTGTTTTTTTTTTTTTTTTTTTTTTTTTTTTTTTTTTTTTTTTTTGAGACAGAGTCTTGCTCTATTGCTAGGCTGGAGTGCAGTGGTGTGATTATAACTCACTGCAACTCCTGGGCTCAAGTGATTCTCTCGTCTCAGTCTCTTGAGTAGCTAGGATTATAGGCATGTTTCATCATGCCCATCTAAATTTTCTTTTTCTTTGATACAGGGTCTTGCTCTGTTACCCAGGCTGGAGTGCAGCAGTGCAATCAGAGCTCACTGCAGCCTTGAACCTCCAGGTTCAGGCCATCCTCCTGCTTCAGCCTCTTGAGTAGCTGGGACATACCAACATATCCAGCTATTTAAAACAAACTTTTTTTTGTAGAGATAGGGTCTTGACAAGTTGCTCAGGCTGGTCCCCAACTCCTGGTCTCAATTGGTCCTCCCACCTCCACCTCTGAAAGCACTGGGATTATAGGCATGAGCCACCAAGCCTGGCCATTGATTTCTTCTTTGACTCATTGGTTGTTTAAGAAAGTTTTCCTTCTGCTATTAATTTCTAGTTTTATTTCACTGTGGTTGGAAAAATTATTTGGTATGATTTCAATCTTAAATTTGTTAAGAATTGTTTTATGAATTAACATATGATCTATCCCAGAAAGTGTTCCACGTGTGCTGGAAAAGAATGTATATTCTGCACTATTGGGTGAAATAGTCTTAATATGTCTCTTAGGCCTATATGGTTTATTGTGTTGTTCAAGTCTACTATTTACTTATTGACTTTCTGTCTGGAGGTTTTATTCATTATTGTAAGTGGTTTATTGAAGTCTCCTACTATTATTATATCACTGTCTATTTCTCCCTTCAGTTTTGTCAATGATTGCTTTATATATTTAGGTGCTCTGATGTTTGGTGTATACATTATTATAATTGTTATATCTTCTGGGTAAATTGATACTTTTATCATTATGTAATGACTTCTTTGTCACTTGTGTGAGTTTCTGACCTAAAGTCTATTTTGTCTGATATAACTATAGCCACCCCTGCTATTTTTTGAATATCATTAACATATAATATCTTTTTCCATACTTTCATTTTCAGCCTTTGTGTCCTTAAATCTGAAGTGAGTCTTTTGTAGACAGCATAGCCTACAAAAGTGAGTCTTTTTCTTCAACCCATTCAGCAACTGTATGTATATCTTTTGATTGGAGGCTTTAATCCATTTACATTTAAGGTAATTATGGATAGGGGAGGACAATTTTGCCATTTTGAGAGTTGTTCCCTGTTCATCTTTTAGTTGTATTGCCCCTTTTCTCCGAGTTTGCTGTCTTTTTTTGTTTTTATATGATTTAATTCATTTTTTTCTTTTGTGCAGCTTTGACAGCCATTACGTTTGCACTTACTATGAGACTTATATAAAACATCTTATAGTAATAGCAGCCTATTTTGGATGATAATAACTTCAATTGCATTCAGAAAGTTTTCACTTTTAGTCCCCATACCCTTTTCTTGTTTGTTTCTTTTTGTTTTGTTGTTGTTGTCATTTTAAAGATGGGATCTTGTTATCTTGCCTAGAATGGAGTGCAGTGGTGTGATTAGCTCATTGTAACCTCAAAAACCAAAGCTCAAGTGATCCTCCCTTCTCAGCCTCCTGAGTAGGTATG